TTCTTGGTGAGACACAAGTCTTTTTCCTCCAGAGATTTTCTAAGGTGGTGGAGGGGAAAGTGTTCAGAGAGATTGCTCTATTTTGATTTATTCCAAATATTTGATTAGCCTGTAATGACTTTGCTGTCTCTTTTATTTAAAATACTGACGATATAAAAGTCATAGATTGTATCTACACATAAATGAGATAATTATTTTCCTGAGAGAATAACTCAAGAGATATCAACAGTTAAATTTCTGTCCAAGGTTGAGTATGTCTTCAGTTGGTATTGAGTCCTCTAGGTGTGATGTTTTCTTGTCATATCCCCCCTTTCTTGTAAAAATTTGTGAAAGTTACTGGGATGAGGTTGGAGAGATATAGGGAGATTGGATTTAGGGGTATGCTATTTGAATGATATTTGAATGACTGAAAGACTGAAGAGTTTGACTTCTGCCTGTGAGTAAGCTCTGTCACTGGTTTTTCTATGAAGTTAAGTTTCAGCATTGTCCTTGTTAGGTATAAAGCATAATAGCTGGGCACATGAAAGTTATCATAAATCCTCAGACCACAGTAAAGTACTTATGGTTGCTTTGCTATAATTGAGGAAACTTTCACACAATAAATTTTAATGTTGGTACATTTTTATTTACTTGTGTCACAAAATAAGGGGCTTGTGCAGGTTCGTTTCCACTAATTAGGTCAAGTTTTACATAGTCATGCAAAGACGGTCTCTTTGTTTTTCTATGAAGAAATTTTCCAGCAGGTGAGAGTATTCAACTATGTTGGTACATTATGTTTAAGCATCTTTATAGTTTGGTCATCTGCTTTGGAGAGTGCCATACTTCTCTACTGACTGAGATAATGAGAAGCCTGTGTGGAACTGAGGAAACTGTAGCCACTAGGAACTGTTTCTATATCCATGGATCAGCCATCCATATCCATGTGTTTCATGATCACACATAGATGCATGAAGTATCTACAATAACATTCAGTGAAAGAAGGGGTTTTTAAAAAAATTTATTTTATTTTATTATGATTTTTTATTGTACTTTAGGTTCTGGGGTTCATGTGCAGATCATACAGGGTTGTTGCATAGGTACACACATGGCAATGTGATTTGCTGCCTCCATGCCCCTGACACCTACATCTGGCATTTCTCACCATGTTATCCCTCCCCAACCTCCCCACCCCCCCTGCTGTCCCTCCCTTGCCCCCCACAACAGACCCCAATGTGTGATGATCCCCTCCTGTGTCCTTGTGTTCTCATTGTTCAACACCCACCTATGAGTGAGAACACGTGGTGTTTGATTTTCTGTTCTTATGTCAGTTTGCTGAGAATGATGGTTTCCAGATTCATCCACGTCCCTACAGAGGACACAAACTCATCGTTTCTTATGTCTGCATACAAGGAGAAGCATTGGTTTTTTGAACCAAAATGTGAGTATTTGAAATCACTGACAAGAGATATTCTTTGAAATTCCAGGGATAAATGTATCATGGGAAATGTAGCTAGTGTCTTAAATACCATATGGTTTTGTTGAAGGAATTCTAATTGGGAAAATAAAGCTAGCAAGCATAAAAATCTTTCAGAATATGCAATGTATATTTGGTTTCAGTACATAGCCTAATTTGTTTTCCTTTTCTATTTCCCAAATAAGAAGAAAAACACGTTTCATATTACATGCATAATAAACCAATAGATTTATAATCATAATCTTAGTTTATGACAAGTTATATTTTATATGATTTATTAATGAAGGTGTACAATCATTTTCAGATATATTTGATTGGAGAGTTTAAAATTGCAGATCATGTCAGATGTGTTAGAGTGTGAAGGAACCAATGTCTATTATGTTCTGGAAGCATAATATGGGTTTTTACTTATAAATCTAAAAACAGTCCCAGCAAACATACTAGTAGATAAATATCCTCAAGAAAGTACCTCGTCTACTGTCATTTAAATGGATTTATAAAACTTTGACTGTGAAATATAATATTATAGAGATTTTTCATTATGGAACTTTATCTTTTGGAAATATCATGTTCTTAGAAATCTATGTTAAATCATTGTTTTTCTGAAAAAATGTTAACTTCACAGTTTACATTCAAGGCCTAGTAATGGTATCTTTCAGTTTCTAAAGTATTCTATTTTTAATTACTTACAGAGGATAGTTTACATACTCTATTATTTTACAAGTAAATATTTAAATTATCAAAAGAATTATCCTGTTAAAATCTAGTTTTGACGATGGAAGAAGGAAAAGTCACTAAACCTTGCAGCAAGTAAGGGGTGAAAAAATAACAGAACTGGCTACAGACTACACTATTCCCTTGAGTTCTTTAGCAGGTGTGTCTCCATCAGTCTATAGCTTCAACAATGACAGAACTCTGGAATCAGCTGGAAGTGGTAATGTGAATGGGACCTGTGGAATGTTCATCACAGCTGGCTTCTAGAGACAGCTCAAACTCTGCAAATGTCCTCTTCCACTGCCAGTTTATGTAAATGGAATCATTCTGTCTACACTTGAGTTTTAGTAATTCTGCAGTTTTACTCAGCAGTGAATAATCAGAAAGTCTGGATTTGTATCTCTACTTCTTATCCCATTGTTTTCTGTAATTGGCTTGTCCTTAACCATCAGATCTAGAGACTTTGGGAAACAATGTGTTTTTCTTTCTTTTGAATTTTCTTTTCTTTCTTCTTCTTCTTTTTTTTTTAACTAGGATCTGGTCTGTTTTTGTTGTGTCTACTCCAAAAAGCCTCCTAAGGCACCCCAGGGACCCACAGGAGGTTGCACTTCCAGTATTTCCTCACTGAAAATAATCTTTCTGAAGGAGATTAAAAAAATACTAGCCCCACTTAATTATCCCATTAATCCTTTTTTTTTTTTGAGACAGTTTTGCTCTTGTTGCCCAGGCTGCTCAGTGCAACCTTGGCCTCCCAGGTACAAGTGATTCTCCTGCCTAGCCACCAGCGTAGTTGGGATCACAGGCATGTGTTACCAGGCCTGGCTAATTTTGTATTCTTAGAGACAGGGGGTGGGGGTGGGGATGGGGGTTTAGAGACAGGGGGTGGGGCAGTGGTTTCTATGTTGGTCAGGCTGGTCTCAAACTCCTGACCTCAGGTGATCCACCCGCCTTGGCCTCCCAAAGTGTTGGGATTACAGGTGTGAGCCACTGCACCCAGCTCCCATTAATCTTTTTAATGCTTGTGGATACTTGTTTGTTAAATACAATTTCTCTGTTTTCTGATTTTAGCCTTCTCTTCATTTCCTGAGTGCTCCCCAATGGTTGGCCCAACTTTTTGCTATATTTATACTTGCTTCTCTTCAAGATGCATTCCATCACAGGTAGAATTACTACTCATAAAATTAAATTGTTATAGTATAAGACATACAGTTTTACTGTGTGGCCCCTATGATGGTTCTGAGTCTGTGTTCACAGTGAGGCATGCAGGAACACTAACAATAGCTATCATTTATTGAGCCCTTAGCAGGTACTTAGTAAATAAACATTTACTACATCTCTATTGATTTCCTCCTCCAAACAGTTCAATAAACCTTCCCTTGAAAATTCTATATTTTCTTGGCCCTTTGCTTTGTTGTAATAAAATAACAACTCTAAGAGGTAAGCACTATTGTTATCCCCATTCTAAAAATAATGAAACTGAGAGGTTTAGTAAGTGCCCCAAGTCACACGGTCAGTGACAGTGATGAAGCAGGGATTGCAGTAGAGGCAGTGTGGCTCCAGGGTCCACATTATTAACCACAGTGCACTCTTTCTCCGAGCAAGTCCTGGTTCTTAAATAGGGACACACTGAGTAGAAAACTTAGTCATTATTTGCTCATTCTATTTATGAAATCCCATGTACCACAGGCTAACATTTTTCAAGTAGGTGTAATATGCTTGGAAATTATTTAATTATAAATATGAAACATAAAATTGTCAGCAGAATACTATAAGGTAGGGCTGCACTAATAGTATTATAGATGGTTTGACTGGAAAGGACTCTGAGTTTATCTGGTTCAACCCCATTGTTTTCCAGTGAGCAAATTGAGACAGATGTATAATTACATTTAGAAAATGACTCCAACCCATGCCTTCTTATTCTGAGCTTGGAATTTCTCCTTTGGTATTTCTTTTTTTAATCTGGATGCTAAGGTTGTATTTTTACAACCTTAGTACCTGAACAGCATTATAAATAAAACTATGTTTTACCACAAACAAACCAAAAACCTACTAGCTGCTGATGTAGTAGTGGTGGCAGGGATGAGTAGTTTAGTTAAGTTTAAAACTATGCTGAAAATTAGAATAGGAAATGTGTTAGGAATTTTAGTACAGGCGAGGCTGTGATGGAGAGAATTACAGATCCCTAGAAATCAGACAGTCAGAGATTTTATGGTTATTTATACTGGTGAAAGTCGAGTCTCTTGAAATTTAATGGGAGATTAAGGAAGACTGATTATTCTTTGAGACACGGAGGTCTGAATGTTTAACAGCGGAATGTCACAGTACTGTGAGATATTTCAGAAGATGATAATTTTGTTGCTACACGGGTCATATTGTAAATATACCACAACTACTACAGATGTGAGGGAATGAATCTGTGTTAATTTAGTTAGTTCAAGTTTACAACTTATAACAAGTTTATAAGTGTAAGTTTCTTGAGAGAGGAAAACTGTTCCCTGTCCATCAAAGCTGATTGCTGTGCAAAAAAAGTAACATTTTAAATATGAAGTTATTAAAGTATGAATGATGGTTGCACCTTCAACTATTTTTCTGTATAGAATAACCACTAATACTTGGAGACAGATCATTTACCTGTTGGCTGAAAACAAATTCTTCTGAGCGATATAGACTTTTCAAGGGAAGGTCTATTGGACTTTTTGGATGAGGAACACAATGGAGACTTATTAAATGCTTATTGAGTATAAATGACTGTTGGAGATATAGCGATGTCGATGTGCTGTTCCATAATAGATGTATTAACATTCCTGTTCACTATTTCGTTACAGGTCCTGCTCTCCTGAGCTCTCAGTTCTGATATAAGCTTGGAAGAAGAGTAAATGAGACAGAGTAACAATGTTACAGAATTTGTCCTCCTGGGGCTCACTCAGGATCCTGATGTGCAAAAAGCATTATTTGCCATGCTTTTACTCATATACATTGTGTCAATGGTGGGAAATCTCCTCATTGTGGTGACTACTCTAGGCAGCCCCTCCTTGGGCTCCCCAATGTACTTCTTCCTTGCCTACTTGTCACTTCTGGATGCCATATATTCCACTGCCATGTCACCCAAATTGATGATGGACTTACTCTGTGATAAAAACAGCATTTCCTTCTCAGCTTGCATGGGTCAGCTCTTCATAGAACACTTACTTGGTGGTGCAGAGGTCTTCCTTCTGGTACTGATGGCCTTTGATCGCTATGTGGCCATCACTAAGCCACTGCAGTATTTGAATATCATGAATCGACAGGTTTGCATCTTTCTCTTGGTGGTGGCCGTGGTTGGAGGTTTTGTGCACTCTGTGGTTCAAATTGTTATTGTGTACAGTCTACCATTCTGTGGCCCCAATGTCATTGACCATTTCATCTGTGACATGTACCCATTATTGGAACTGGCGTGCACCGACACCTACTTTATAGGCCTCACTGTGGTTGCCAATGGTGGAACAATCTGTATGGTCGTCTTTACCTTTCTGCTAATCTCCTACGGAGTCATCCTAAACTCCCTTAAAACTTACAGTCAGGAAGGGAGGCGTAAAGCCCTGTCTACCTGCAGCTCCCACATCACCGTGGTGGTCTTGTTTTTTGTTCCCTGTATTTTCATGTACGTTAGACCAGTTTCCAACTTTCCCTTTGATAAATTCGTGACTGTGTTTTATACAATTATCACACCCATGTTGAATCCTTTAATGTACACATTGAGAAATTCAGAGATGAAAAATGCTATGAAAAAACTCTTGTGTAAAAAGTTAAATATAGTTAGAATGAGTTTCTCCCACACTGAACATGTTTGTTACTAGTTCTAAGGCAACAAATAGCCAGTAAATTCTATCTGGATAATGTAATCATTCAACAGATTCTGTGGGGGTGCTTCTCTCTATCTACATAAAGCCGTCAAAAAAAATAGAATAAATTATCCACTGAGACTAGAATCAATCTAATAGAGAAATTCTGGAGAATGAATAAAAGTCACAGATAGTGGCCTTGGTACGAGTAAAAATAAAACCAAGCTCACCTTGTAACTTTATTTTTCTCAGTTGATATTGAAATAGGACTTAAAAAATGGTCTATTCTTTTCAAAAGAGCAAACACAAGCCACTTCCTTCTGTAGATGTACTTTTACCCAAATTCATGAGAAAACAATTTAGCTAATACTTAGAACAAATTTCTGGACCAAGAGAGTAGTTTTTAAATCTTATTGTTTATTATTCTATCAGTAAAGCAGCTTTCTGTATTTTTAATTTTGTTTTAAGATTGCTTTCATTCCTCAGGTCATGTCTATGCATTTCCAGTTCAGGATATTTGGATGACAGATGATATTGTCTTTAATTAAAAGCATTATTAGTAAAGAATTTTGTCAGATGGAATGTAGATGATGATGAAAACAGAATCTAGATCTTTACTGCAGGAAAAAAATACTTTTCTTTAGTTTTGAGAACTGTACTAATCCAAGTTGTAAACATATTTTTATGATTTTCCTCACTATTTCCCATGTGAATTTTTGCCAATCTTTGAAGAAAAGGCAAAGCTTCTTATTTTGTACTCATGATGCTGAAAATATGAATAAGGAAATGTGTTATTTTCTGTAAGCAACATGTTTTCTAAATGTTGTATTTAATTTAAATTGCTTATAGACTTAAACATGATTTGTTGTGGCATAGGCAACATTTTGGTTTTCAATTTCATGTTAAAAAACAAGTTTTTCTCAGTGTGCAGCCACCTTAGGACATCAGAAAACAAGAAGACTGAATTGCTTTAATTGCAGTATAGAACATTGTGCTTTGTGTGATTTAACTTTTTAAAATAAATTTCATTATGTATGTTGAAAATATACAACATGATGTTATGGGATACACATAGAGAGTAAAAAGGTTACGATTGTGAGGCAAATTAATATATATATCATCTAAAACACTTACTTTGTGTGGAAAAGCAGCTAACGTCTACTCATTTAGCATAAACACCAAATAGAGTACAATTTTGTTACCTATAGTCTTCATGTTGTACCTTAGTCAGAGGATATAAAATAACAGAAACAGAAAGGAAGAATGAACATGTCTAGAGATCTAATGTACAAAAATTGACTTTTCTAAATAAAAAATGTTATAACTTTTATTACTTAAAAATTGTATAATTTGTATGAATACCAAATGATATGTGAAATTGATAATATTATCAATATAATTGAAACCACCTGTGTGTACCACCCTGATGCCATTCCTCTGCTTCTCGCCAGAGATAAACCCAATGCTAAATGTCTTTTCAATCATAGTTAAAATAGTTTAACTACATATGTACTTTTTCTTAAAAGATATTGTTTAGATTTTTATATTCCTTGCCTTTATTAAAATTATATTGCCCATAGTTTTCTAAATTTTACTTTCTTTCACAATGTAAATGTTCTAAGATTTGATTATATTACGGTGTGCTGCTTTAGTCCCTTAATTTTGCCTGGTATATATTATTCCATGTATCAATATACCACAATGTATGCGTCAATTCAATCAGAGGCCATTTACATGGTTTTTAGTTTGTTTTTTTATGTTGCACAATATGCTGCTATGGACATCCTGAAAAAAAATTTTTTTTGTTAAGTATAAGCTTATATACCTTTACAAATTATTGCATTGTTTTCTAATGTTATATTACGAATCCCCTCATCAACCAGTTAAGTTAGTCCGACCAATAGTGCATGAAAGTTTCATTGCTCTACATCCTTACCAACACCTCGGTATAGTGAGATGTTTGGTATTTTCGCTAATGTAATAGCTTTAAGACTGTGAATACATTGTGGCTTTCATTTGCAATCTTTATTGCTATTGAAGTTGAATCTATTCTTAATGTGTTTATTGGATCTCTGTTTTTTTTCTAATTTTCCTTAGGTCATTAAAAAGTCAAGAAAAAAACATGCTATCGAGGATGTGGAGAAATAGGAACACTTTTATACTGTTGGTGGAAGTGTAAATTAGTTCAACCATTGTGGAAAATAGTGTGGTGATTCCTCAAGGATCTAGAACTAGAAATACCATTTGACCCGGCAATCCCATTACTAGGCATATACCCAGAGGATTATAAATCATTCTACTGTAAGGACACATGCATATGTATGTTTATTGTAGCACTGTTCACAATAACAAAGCCTTAGAAACAACCCAAATGCTCACCAATGATAGACTGGATAAAGAAAATGTGGCGGGCCGGGCGCGGTGGCTCAAGCCTGTAATCCCAGCACTTTGGGAGGCCGGGATGGGTGGATCACGAGGTTAAGAGATCGAGACCATTCTGGTCAACATGGTGAAACCCCGTCTCTACTAAAAATACAAAAAATTAGCTGGGCATGGTGGCGCATGCCTGTAATCCCAGCTACTTGGGAGGCTGAGGCAGGAGAATTGTCTGAACCCAGGAGGCAGAGGTTGCGGTGAGCCGAGATCGCGCCATTGCACTCCAGCCTGGGTAACAAGAGCGAAACTCCGTCTCAAAAAAAAAAAAAAAAAAAAAAAAAAAAAGAAAATGTGGCACATTTACACCATGGAATACTATGCAGCCGTAAAGAAGGATGAGTTCATGTCCTTTGCAGGAACGTGGATAAAGCTGGAAACTATCATTCTCAGCAAACTAACACAAGAACAGAAAACCAAACACCACATCTTCTCACTCATAAGTGGGAGTTGAATGATGAGAACACATGTACACAGGGAGGGGAACATCACACATTAGGACCTGTCGGGGGGTTGGGGTTGGGGGACTAGAGGAGGGATAGTATTAGGAGAAATGCCTAATGTAAATGATAGATTGATGGGTGCAGCAAACCACCATGGCATATGTAAACCTAAGTAACAAACCTGCATGTACTGCATGTATTCCAGGACTTAAAGTATAATAAAATAATTAAAAAAATATATATATACCTAGTAATAGGATCGCTGGATCACATGATCATTTTAATTTCTGAGAACCCTTCATGCTGTTTTCTGTAATATCTGTACTAATATACATTACTAGCAGCAGTAGCAAGGGTTCCCTGTTCTTCACATCCTCACCAACGCTTGTTAACTTTTGTCTTTTTGATATACCCAGTCTAACAGGTTTGAGGTAACATTTAATTGTGATTTTAATTTGCATTCCTCTGGTGATTAGTGATTTTGAGCATTTCTTTATATACATTTTAGGCCTTGTTTAGAGAAATGGTTATTCAGATCTGATATGGTTTGGCTGTGTCCCTACTCAAATCTCATCTTGAATTCTCACATGTTGTGGGAGAGACCTAGTGGGAGCTAATTGAATCAGAGGGATAAGTCTTTCTCCTGCTGTTTTATGATAGTGAATAAGTCTCATGATATCTGATGGTATTATAAAGAGGAGTTTCCCTGCACAATATCTCAGAGAGCTTGTCTGCTGCCTTTCATATAATACCTGACTTTTTCCTCTTTGCCTTCTGCCATGATTGTGAGGCCTCCACAGCTATGTGGGACTATAGGTTCAATAAATTTCTTTCCTTTGTAAATTGTCCAGTCTTTGGTATTTCTTTATCAGCAGTGTGAAAACAGACTAATATGGTAAATTGGTACTGGGAATGGGGCCGGCTGAAAAGATACCTGAAAATGTGGAAGTGACTTCGGGACTGGGTAACAGATGGAATTTGGAACAGTTTGTAGGGCTCAGAAGAAGACAGAGAAAGATGGGAAAGTTTGAAACTCCCTGGAGATTTGTTGAATGGCTTTGACCAAAATGCTGATAATGGCATAGTCAATGGAATCCAGGCTGAGGTGGTCTCAGATGGAGAGGAGAAATTTGTTAAGAACTGGAGCAAAGGTGACTCTTGTTATGTTTTAGCAAAGAGATTTGTGGTATTTTTCCCATGCTCTAGAGATTTGTGGAACTTTGAACTTGAGAGAGATGATTTAGAGTATCTGGCAGAAGAAATTTTTAAGCAGCAAAGCATTCAAGATGTGAGTTGGGTGCTGTAAACAACATAAGTTTTATAAGGGAAACAGAGCATAAAAGTTTGGAAAATTTTCAGCATTACATTGTGATAGAAAAGAAAATCCCATTTTCTGAGGAGAAATTTAAGCCAGCTGCAGAAATTTGCACAAGTAATGAGAAGCCAAGTGTTAATCACCAAGACAAAGTGGAAAATGTCTCCTGGGTATGTCAGAGACCTTTGAAGCAGCCTTTCCCAACATAGGCCTGGAGGCCTAGAAGAAAAAAATAGGTTTCATGGGCCTGGCCCAGGGTTCCTCTGCTGTGTGCAGTCTAGGGACTTGGTTCCCTGCCTCACAGCTGCCCCATCCATGACTAAAAGGGGCCAAGGTACAGCTCAGGTCACGGTTTCAGATGGTGCAAGCCCAAGCCTTGGCAGCTTCCACATGGTGTTGAGCCTGCAGGTGCACAGAAGTCAAGAATTGGGGTTTGTGAACTTCTGCCTAGATTTCAGAGAATGTATGGAAATGCCTGGATGTCCAGGCAGAAGTTTGCTACAGGGTTGGAGCACTCATGGAGTACCTCTGCTAGGGCAGGGTAGAAGAAAAATATGGGGTTGGTGTCCTGACACAGAATCTCTACTTGGGGGAGCTGTGTAACTGTAAGAAGAGGGCCACTGTCCTCCAGACCCCAGAATGGTAGATCCATTGAAAGCTTGCACCATGTGCCTGGAAAACCTGCAGACAACACCAGCCAGTGAAGGCAGCCAGGAAAGAGACTGTACCTTGCAAAGCTGCCCAAGACCATGGGAACAGGGGTGGAGCTGCCCAAGACTATGGGAACCCACCTCTTGCATGAGCATTACCTAGATGTGAGACAGGGAGTCAAAAGAGATCATTTTGGAGCTTTAAGATTTGACTGCCCTGTTGGATTTTGGACTTTCATAGGGCTTGTAACCCCTTTGTTTTGGCCAATTTCTCCCATTTGGGATGACTGTATTTACCCAAGGCTAACAGCAGAACAGGCAAAGCTGAGGAAATAATCTTAGATCTCAAAGACTGGCTCCTTGAAATAACTTAATCAGACAAAAATGAAGAAAAAAAGAATTAAAAATATAGACAAAACTGAGAAATTGAGATTATGTAAGGAAACCAAGTTTATGACTCACTGGCATTCCTGAAAGAGATGGGGAGAAAGCAAGCACCTTGGAAAACATATTTCAGGATGTACTTTATGAAAACTTTGCCAACATTGTTAGAGGGAAACATTCAAACTCAGGAAATGCAGAGAACACCTGTGAGTTAATACACATGAAGAACATTCCCAAGGCACATAATAATCAGATTCTCCAAAGATGAAATGAAAAAAAATGTTAAAGGCAAGTATAGACAAGAGGCAGGTCACATACAAAGGGAAATCCATTGCCCTAATAGTGAACCTTCCAGCAGGAAATCATAAGAGCCAGAAGAGAGGCCTCTATTCAGCATTCCTAAAGAAAAGAATTTCCAAACAAGAATGTCAGATCTGGCCAAATTAAGCTTGATAAGTGAAAAATACAAATTTTTCTCAGACAAGCAAATGCTGAGGGAATTTGTTACCACCAGACATGCCTTACAAGAGGTTCTGAAATGAGCACTAAATGTAGAGAGACTATTATAGCCACTACAAAAACACACTTGAGTACACCAACCAGTGACACTATGAAGGAACCACACAAACGGAGCTGCTTAATAACCAACTAACAACACAATGACAGAATCAAATACACACATGTCAATGCTAACCTGGAATCTAAATGGACCAAATGCTCCAATTAAAAGACACAGAGTGGAATGCTGGATTTAAAAAAAGCACACAACAACAAAGAAAACAAAAAAACAAGATCCAACGTTATGCCATCTTCAAGAGACCCATCTCATATGCAGTGATACCCAGAGACTCAAAGATATGGAGTAAAATATACAAAGCAAACTGAAAACAAAAAAAAGCAGGGGTTCTAATTCTAATTTAAGAAAAAGACTTTAAACCAGCAAATATCAAAAAAGACAAAGAAGGACATTGCATAATGGTAAAGGGTTCAATTCAACAAGATCTAACTATCCTAAATATATGTGCAGGGAACAATGATGCATCCAGATAAATAAAGTAAGTTTTTAGAGACCTGCAAAGAGACTTAGGTTCCCACACAATGATAGTGGGAAACTTCAACAACCCTCTAACAGTATTAAATTATCAAAACAGAACACTAACAAAGATATTCAGGACCTGAACTCAACACTTGACCAACTTGATCTAATAAGTATCTATAGTATTCTCCAACGCAAAACAACAGAACATACATTCTTGTCATCATATGGCACAAAATCTAAAATCAAACCAACTGAGCATACAACAATACTCAGCAATTCAATAAAACTGAAATCATATCAACACACTTTCAGATTTTCTCAACAATAAGAAAATTACACAAACCTTACAATTAATGAAAATTAAACAATCTGCTTCTGAATGACTTTTGAGTAAATAAAGAAATTGAGGCAGAAATCAAGAGGATCTTTGAAATTAATTAGAAAAAAATACAACTTACTAAAATCTCTCGTACACAGCTAAGGCAGTGGCAAAAAGAGAAGTTTATTGCAATAAATGCCCACATCAAAAAGTTAGAAAGATGTCAAATTAACAAACTCACAGCTAACAAACATCTCTATGCACAGAAACTAGAAAACCTAGAAAAAATGAATAAATTTCTGGATACATAAATCCTCCCAAGATTGAACCAGGAAGAAACTAAATTCCTGAACAGATCAATAATGAGTTCCAAAATTGAATAAGTAATAAAAAATCTACTAACCCAAAACAGTTCAGGACCAGACGGATTTACAGCTGAATTCTACCAGATGTATAAAGAAAAGATAATACCATTCCTATGGGAAGTATTCCAAAAGTAAGAAACGTACTGGCCTTCGATGCAGTTATGTTTGTGTTAATATCTCTCTGTGTCCATTGCTTTGTTACAGGTGTTATTCCCTAGAGAACGCACCAACAAGTCCTGCATACAAATCTAGCAGAAACGATTTTTTTGGAAATACAACCCACACATTTTTGTAAATGTTCTTTGCTCTTGGTTCTCTCAGAGGGGGTCATAAATTGAATTGTTATGGTTCTCCTTTTCTGGTTTCTTCTTACCAGAGCTTTGCATGGAGTTACACTGTTTTTGTCTTCTGTTCATTTTGAAGTCCTGAAGTAAGACTTCTATATAGATAGAGTAATAGTTGAAATTTTTGGGTGTCCTCTAAGATTTCTAGTTCATAGGTGCCCTCTTTATAACTTTTTTTAGCATAGTACAAAATTTAAGTGAGGAAAGAAGAATTAGAATACCTTTAGATTTTGTCATACTTCTTTGTTTCCTCAGAACTTTAATTTCCTCTTTTTACTTCCTTACTTTCCTTTACCATGAAGTCACCCAGGAGTACCTTTCCTTGCTACTAGTCCTCATCTCCCCCAGAAGTGATGCCCTTTGAAGAATACCATCATAGGTCCTGCATATTTTCATTCTTTCTCTCTGCTCAACATCCTGCTTTATCAGACATCAGACCTCTCATGAATGATTTTGAAATTAATGTGACTTAGGCTTTTTTGAGTGATTCTGGCCGGACTACATTTCCCTTGGGCTTCCTACCTCCACCTCCTGTTCTCTACAGTCTCTTCAGGGTTCCCCCACCTTCCTCTCTGTTTGTAGCTGCAGAGATCTTTTTGCTGGGATTTGATGTTTATTTCTCTATTTAGAGGTAATTTGAAATTCATAGTATTCTCGGTGTCAGTTATGCTAAATGTCCTAGTTATGTGTGATATTATGTACTTGCTGTGTTGTATGTTTTGAATGTTTTTTGGAGGATATGTAGAGAGATTCTGACTTCAGGAGGAGCTGCCATTGTTATATGAAAGACATCTGAATATTGAGTGTCAAATATTTCTGTATTTAATTTTATTTTTCTTCATAATAATACTTTTAAAATTATAGGTTCTAATTATTTGTTTTTGCATTACTTTTTGAGAAAGATTTTCCCCCCTCTGGACAAAATTTCTGTGTTGGGTTTGATATGTGGATGTTATCTCATCTGAGTTCCATTGAAACTTTTAGTAAGTTGATTAGCAATGGTCTTGTGCTGTTCTCATTAGGTATGTTTGCCATAACACAAAGCCTTAAGCTTTCCATTTTACTCTAGTGCCTTCTTAGAGCTGAGAATTTAAAATATATACTGATTAATCAGAAGCAAAGGAATCTTGTTCATGCAAATTTTATGTCTTTTTTTAAATAAGGGATTTGCTCTTTAATGTTACAGTGCTATTTTTTTTTGGCACTTAATTATCCTAAAGTATTTGTCCAGGAGAAACTTCTAAAAATATAGAATGCCCTGGAAAGATCACGTGGAAGGGCTCTGTTCTCTGGGGCATGATTCCTCAGTGAATTAATTTGGAAAAAGCAACCTTGGGGACAAACTCAGTGAAATATTTTGTTGTTAATTGTTGATTAAGTCATAGCTTCTCTTATCTGGGAGAAGATTTCTTGTCAGCTGTTAATGTTACTGTCAAAATAGGAAATAAAAGCCAATACCAGATATAGGTGATGGGGGGATGAAGGCAACAAACCACCTTGCCATGTATGTCCCTATGCAACAATCCTGCATGATCTGCACACTTAGCGCAGAACCTAAAGTACAATTAAAAAAAAGCTTAAAAAAAGCCATTACCTTACTAGACGTGAACCATACTAAAGCAGTAATATAAACATATGAGTCCTTTTAAAATATTCAAGACAAAGCCCAGTTTTTAGATTATTTTTGTGCACTACTGACTAAGAATGTTATAAAAAGTTCGTTCAGTTAATGACGTCAGTAGACATAATAATGGGGTTTTAAATTTCTTTAATTTAATATATATATTCTCAATGACAACTTCCCAAATTGGTGATTCATCAGTCATATCAACTGTTTATTCCTGAAACCAACTCTTGATAATCCCATAATCCAAATGAAAATGTTTATGAAAGTTGAAGAAGATGATCACGCTTTGTTCAGGCAAAAGGCAATATATCACCATGTGGCAAAGCATTTGCAGCTTCAGTAACCATGTGCCTTCTTTTCTTTGCAGTGACGCCTGTATTTATAGAGTGTCAATCCTGACTTATCTTCATCGCACTAGGCAGTAATTTTCTAGGAACAAAGAAAAAAACTGCAGAAGCCTGGATTTGGAGCTAGTGACCAAGGAGGAAATAGAAAACCCAGGTAACAAATTTAAAAAGTTTTTCCCTGCTGTTATGATAGAGGCAAAATAGACTTTATTTGAAAGAGTTATGTATCTTTCTTAAAAAGCAGGTTTTATTATTTAATCTCAAGTGTCTTATGCCAGAACCTTCAAGAATAAAACAGCATACACGTTTTTTTCATTTTATAGAATATTATTAGAATAAGTACAATGGTAATAATTTTCTCCAAATTTTTAATTAGAATATTTTAATTATATATTGAAATAAAATGCATAGCACAACATAACAACATGACTATATTTAGTATTTACAGTAACTTCATTTAGATTGCTTTATATAATTTAGAAAATACAACAATTATTTATCTTATATCTTAATACATTGATAATAACAGTAAGGATTACTATATTTCTTTTTTTTTAAACCTTGTATATAGTCTTTTTAAATGTCCTGGTTCTGTGCTGATGTTGTATTTGTGCTGATATTTTTTTATTATGATAAAATATACATAACACATTGTTATACAATTACCATCACTGCCCATCTCCAAAACTTTTCATCGTTCTAAACTGAAATTCCATATTCATCAAACAATAATTTTTCCTCACCCCCTCCTCTTTGTCCCTGGTAACCACTGTTGTACTTTCTATGTCTATGAATATGACTATTATAGGTGCCTTATAATAGTGACAACCATATTTGTCATTTTGTGTTTGGCTTAGCATGTCTTCAGGGTTCACTCATGTTGTAGTATTATCACAACTTCAATGCTTTTTAAGGTTGAATAATATCCCCTTGTCTGTATATTCTCTAATTTGTTTATTCATTCATTAATTGATGAGCATTTAAGTTGTTTCCATCTTTTGGCTATTGTGAATAATTCTGCCATGAACATCAGTGTACAAATATTCGTTTCAGTCTGTGATTTCTGTTTTTTTGTGCATAGCCCTCAAATAACATTCACATTACCACATAAACATTCCTCACCTGTCTTTCTTCATAGCTCATTCCCCTCTTTGACATTTATTATTAAAACTAATTTAATCTGAGATACCTCTTTGTAGATTGGGGGATCAACTGGGTCCATAGCAGGGTGTGTCCAGTTTTACTCACTACATTTTTAAAACCCTAAAAATAAGGACATATTTATGTGGCTGACTCACAGGCAGGAATTGATGTTGGCATTTTCCCTAAGTTTCTGTAGATCTTGTACCTAATGACATTTATAACTTCTGTTTCCGTGGACCCTAAATTACCCTTTCTAATATGGTATATGTGTAGATTGATAAATTTACCCAGTAACTAGACTTTTCAGAACACGAATTTTCATATTTTGTAAAGATTGCTATTGTGGGATACCTATCATAGATTCACATTTTTTTGAGTATTTCTTTTTTCTTTATATTATTATTATTATTTTTTTATTGCATTTTAGGTTTTGGGGTACATGTGAAGAACATGCAAGATTGTTGCATAGGTACACACATGGCAGTGTGATTTGCTGCCTTCCTCCCCATCACCTATATCTGGCATTTCTCCCTATGCTATCTCTTCCCAATTCCCCACCCGTCTCTCTCCCTCCCCTATTTCCCCCCAACAGACCCCAGATTTACTCAGTCTCATTTGCATATGTTAAGAAATTTGAAGAATCTTACTAATGTTTGAATCAAATATATATTTTTTTCATAAAATATAATATTGATAAAATACAGAATTTGGAATCATTCAGTGATAATTCTCAATAGTTTAGAATAATAGTAATGCCTCTAAGAACATTTTAATAAGTGAAATATTTATTGAGTAATTGAAATACTATAAATAAATATGGGTTATAAGTACAAAAAGATCAACCAGAGAGACTGTCCTACTGGAAGTCATCTCTTGAAAGCTCAGACAGCTCCTATGAATTGTGAATACTCATTTTCTATTATAAATGCAGAATAGTTTTGTAATTGCCAGTAAAGATATTTAATCATCACGTATGTATGCAGCAAAATATCAGAAACTCCAAGGAACTTCAAGGAAGCTGATCTTATCTTCTGATCTATCCTAAACTTTAAAATCGGATGTTTTCATTTTTCTTTGACCCAAATGTGTAAAGATTCCTCAAAGCAAGTGCTGCTACTGATGCTGACCTACCTTCCAGGCCACCTCCTGATTGATAGCTCTGGGAATCTGATATTCTTCTGTTCTCAACTCATTCAGTTCCCTCAACCAAAATGCTTACCAACATTTCATTCAGCTTATGGCCTTTACTTATTTCCATCTGCCTTTGCTAAGTTATCTCTTATTTTACTTATGTCTCTGCTTTTACTCTCCTTCTGACGCTTGAGTATGTCTTGGCTTGCCTTGATACGTAAAGGATAGAATAATCTCTTTACCTTCACAAATGACAATTGCTAATATAGAGCATATTTAAAATAATTCTGCTAATACAAACTTGCACACATTGCACATAAAATTGGGTCTGAATCACATCTGAAGACCCAACAGATGATTTATTTTACTCAAGTGAGGATGAATATCTCGTATTTGACAAAAATTCCAATAACCAAGAACTAATATGAAAAAACTCTCATGTATTGATTAATAATCAAATAAACTTTAGGACATACTAAGCCTGATTAACATAAAATGGTCTACCAGAAAAAATGTCATCATGTTGTTTAAGATAAATGTGTCAATGATAAGAATTCAGAAACTCGTTTACCTGGAAAGACCATTACATTTCCAATAAGGAATTATACGGTGGGATGTGATTTTTCCAAGATGCCTAAACTAAAAATCAATTATATTTTCAGATTTCTCATATATAATTATTTCTACTACACCAATATTTTGCTGGAGTCTTTATTTTTGAGATTCCAAATTCATCCATAATTAGCCATGATCAGCCTTAAACAAATGTAAAAAGTGGGGAAAATGTCTATGCAGTGCCCCTGCACTTTGATTTTTATTACCTATTTTTTTCCTCTAATGACCTAGGTTACAACAGATGAAAATTCCATATGTGTGTGTGTATGTGTGTGTGTGTGTGTGTGTGGTGTGTTTTCAAATAAAACATTGCTTTCATTGGGCCTTCATGGCTGGGAAGATTTTAATGCATTTATTTCCACCCACCTGCTCTCTGAGTTTGAAATTCAGTTTAATTAAGTAAACTAAATATACATTTAGTGAGCACTCACAATGTGTTTGGTTCTTTGAGTGAGTTATTACTGGATCCTAGGAGCTCACAGGAGAGTGTTTCAGAATGGTAAATGTCTGAACATTAGCCTGTAATTTTATGCTCCATATACTGGATACTACTTTACATAAATATATAAGTCAAGTCAACACATGTGAGACTGTTTTCTTGATAGATCATGGAAGAACAAAATCCGTTCAAGGAAAAAAAGAGAAATACTATGTACATGTCAAAAATGCAGTCTTTTTAAGAGATATTCTCTAGAAAGCAGCTCTATTTTGATGTGTAATAGATTATCTCACATTTGTGTCCACTCACATATACCTTCCAGTTAGAAACCTGAAGCCTCATCATTGTGGTTAAAACAATACATTTGTAAAAATAAAAAGGATAATTGTGGGAGGAGATTCTAGACACTCCTTTTCCAATGAGCTGCTCTATGTGAGGCCCTGGTCGGGGGAAACATGGTTGAGGAAGGCATCACATTTTTGACATGGGGCTTGTGACAAATAACCTCAAATGTATCATTGACCCGTTTGTTTGTAGGCTCTGACACCTGAGTCCAATACTTTCAGAAGAACACATGGAAAATAGGAACAATGTGACTGAATTTATCCTCTTGGGGCTCACACAGAATCCTGAGGGGCAAAAAGTTTTATTTGTCACATTCTTACTCATCTACATTGTGACGATAATGGGCAACCTGCTTATCATAGTGACCATCATGACCAGCCGGTCCCTGGGTTCTCCCATGTACTTTTTTCTGGCTTCTTTATCATTTATTGATACTGTCTATTCTACTGCCATTGCTCCCAAAATGATTGTTGACTTGCTCTCTGAGAAAAAGACCATTTCCTTTCAGGGTTGTATGACTCAGCTTTTTATGGATCATTTATTTGCTGGTGCTGAAGTCATTCTCCTGGTGGTGATGGCCTATGACCGCTATGTGGCCATCTGTAAGCCTCTTCATTATTTGATCATCATGAATCGTCGAGTCTGCGTTCTCATGCTATTGGTTGCCTGGATCGGAGGGTTTCTTCACTCATTGATTCAATTTCTCTTGATTTATCAGCTCCCTTTCTGTGGCCCCAATGTCATTGACAACTTCCTGTGTGATTTGTATCCCTTATTGAAACTTGCTTGCACCAATACCTATGTCATTGGACTTTCTATGATAGCAAATGGAGGAGCGATTTGTACTGTCACCTTCTTCACTCTCCTGCTTTCCTACGGGGTGATACTACACTCTCTTAAGACTCAGAGTTTGGAAGGGAAACACAAAGCTTTCTACACCTGTGCATCCCACATCACCGTGGTCATTTTATTCTTTGTCCCCTGTATCTTCCTGTTTGCAAGGCCCAATTCCACATTTCCCATTGATAAGTCCATGACTGTGGTTTTAACTTTTATAACTCCAATGTTGAACCCACTAATCTATACCCTGAGGAATGCAGAAATGAAAAGCGCCATGAAGAAACTTTGGAGTAAAAAACTAAACTTAGCTGGAAGAGGGCTGTACCCCTTATGAGAACGTTACATTCATTCTTTCACAGAAGCAAGGACTAATTTCACTATCCTACATGATTACACTTTGGTTATCATTCCCATTTAGTTATTTAGCTTACTTATTCTGAAGCACTTATATAAAATAATATTTAAATGCAATGTTACACCCATTACAGACCAAGAAAATTGCTTAGGTTTAACAGTGTATACTGTTTTTGTAATCATTTTGTGTTGAGATTCTTTGGTAGATAACAATATTTAGTTTTATTTCAAGCTCTTTTGTATTTTAAAACATTTATTTATTTTAAATTGACAATAATTGGGTATATTTATGAAGTACAATGTGATGGTTTGATCTACGTATACATTACAGAAAAATTTAATCAGTCTAATGAATATATCACTTCTCCAATATCTTTTTTGTGTGTGTGACAACATCAAAAATCTATTCTTGTTTATGGGCTATGATACCTTCCTGGCACATATAAATGTGACTATGAAAATTTGTTCTCTTTAGTCCAAGAGAATAATATTTTAAACTTGAAAATTCAGATTGTTAACAGAATGTTAATCTAACAGTAAAAATAAATGTCTTGATCAAATTAATGAATTGAAGTTTCATAGGTATATTGATAGATGAAGCCAAATCTATGAGAAATAAACTGTTAATTTTGTACTGTGACAGAGTTAAGATGTCCAGATAGCATATAGTTGATATTGTATATTTTGAACAACTTTTAAACAGAAAAATTGTTCAATCCCATTCTGTATATCTAGGTCAACTGGCCTCCTCCAATAGTCGAAATATGTGTTTAAGTCACTCATAGAACAGTGGAGCCCACCGAATCTATCTACATCAAACTCTCAGAGTGCACTTAAAAAATGCAACGAATGTTAAACATTTTGGGAATGGATTTTTTTGTTTTACACAATAAATGGCTTTCAGAATCTCTGTGGACTATATCTTCTCATCGACTGAAGTAATAAATCACGGATGTCTTCTCTGTTTACAGTTACTCTATAATAGGTTTAGAGTACTAATAATACTGTATTACAAAGATAATTTTTAAAAGCTCTGTCATTACATACTGCCTTGTTGAAAAGTCAACCTATAGCATCTATATTAAGGTAAGAAGTTGGTATTTTTTTCATTTTCCTTTTCTCAGTGTGTAATAGATGTACTTAATGCACTTAGCAATATTAATGCATCCAGTTATTCAACACATATTGAATAAAAAGTAAGCCACGGAATTGTATTTATTCTTTAGTGAAGGAAGTAAAGGAGTTTTTAAAAAAGTTTTTTTTTTTTTAGTAACAAAGGAATCAGAATTTCATAGTCATTGGAACTGGAGAATCTGGCATCTGGATACCGGAGGGAGCACAGTTGGGATCAAGGATTCACCACCCAAGTCGTCATGCAGAGAGCAGGATGCTAAACTCAAAAAGAAACTCCTCTTGTTCTCTGCACATGCTTCTCAAAGGAAAGGACTTTCCTGCATTGAGTTTTATATAAAGGTAATTTTCTCTAAAAATTTAAAGTTTTGCTTTTCGCACTAACTTGTCTGGTCCCATTCGTCCACATAAGGTTTGAATTTCAAGTTATGCTATGAGTTGGAAACGCCCTTTGCTTTCTTATCATGGAAATAATTTTCCCATCACTTTACTGAATAATCATTTAATTGTCTACTACCTTGAAATACAAGAACTTTTATATATAAAATGCAGATATAAAAGTTGTTCTATTTCCTAGTTTTCTATTTTGTTCAATTAGTCTAATTGTCAGTTCAAGAGCCAATACTACAGTGTCTAAACTATTGAGTGTTTCAGATACTCTTGCTATAAAACGAATCACCTAACATTAAGTGGTTTAAAACACTATCGTTTAATTATTTCAGATGCTTCTGTGGGTCTTATGAGGAATTTGTTAGCAGCAGCTCAGCTGGATACTTTTAGCTTAGGGTGTCTCATGAGGTTGCAGTCAGATATTGGTTGGTGCTAAAGTCATATAAAACATTTCTTCAGCCACATGTCTAGTATGTAGGCCTGAAAGTCTTGAACAGTGAGGGCTAAAGCAATTGGTGCTTCTTGGGCATCTTCCCCTTTTTGTATGTAATTTTCCCGTATGACCTCTCAAGCATGCTGAATTCAGGGTAATGGGAGCATTTCCATGGTAGTTCAGAGTTCTAAAAAGCTGGTGTCTCTAGAGAGTGAACCAGCCAGAAGCTGTGGCGTTTCTTTGACCTAAACTTAGAAGTCACTTAGAATGACTCTGTCATATTTCATTAATCAAGATACTCATAAAGTCCCTCCTAAATGAAAACAGAGAGGACAGACTCCACCTCTTGGTTGGGAAATGGCAATGCCTGGAAAAGCATATGCAACAGGACATACTGTTGTAGAAACACAATCTGTTACAGTCTGCCCCTGCTAGAAAACACACATCCTCCCATAAGCATTGTACATTCAACTTCCTTTTTTCTGGGCCCCTTTCCCAAGTCTCATTCACATACAGCATCAGGCTCAGGTTCAAGGTCCAGGACCTCATCATCTAAATCATGTCCAGCTGTGGTTTTAGTGGCTCCTGTGGTGTGGTTCCTCTTGTGGTGCAGTTCCTTGAGTATTATATCTTTTGACTGAAATTTTCAATTGGAAGACCTTTGAACTGAAGTCAGAGGTTATCTGCCCCTTCTCTTCTCACTGGTGTGACACATATGACATAACTCATATAGATATTTACATTCAGGAAGGAGAGAAAAAAAGTAATATAGTGGCTGTTCCACAGCAGTTCTGAAACTCATCTAGGTACATGTCTTTTCAGTTCTTTGATTATTGTCCAGCCTACTTATGGCAGTGATATTACATGACTCTTATTTCTTCTCTTGGGCTTTGAATTCTGTCTTTGAGCTATCTATTCTTTTCCATAATAAACCTGTATTCCATAAAAACCTGTGTTTGTAGATTAATAGTTTTCTCAGCCTGCTTCTTATCTGTAGAAGTTTGGTGGTCCAAAATCCTTTTATCAGTTCATTTTAAACTACCCCTTTTTGTCCAAACTCATATAATTCCTAATTTTTCTATAAATATTATAGGGGTTGATTCCATCAGACAAAAGCTACATACATAATTATCATTGAGATAGGTCTTTCTTTTCTATGGGCTCCCTGTACAGATGCTGTGAAACAGAACCTTTAAGATTCTTACAAGCCTTATTAATTAGAGTGAGAATCTGTCAGCAGATCCCTAATATTCTTTTTTTTCCTGAGAAACAGGGTCTCACTTTGTCCCCCAGGCTGGAACGCAGTGGTATAGTCATGGCTTACTGTCCATTGACACTACAATGAAACTGCATCAACTAATGGGCAAAATGACCAGCTAGAATAAAAATGGCAGGGTTAAATTCACACATAACAATATTAACCTTAAAGGTAAATGGGCTATTGACACTACAATGAAACTGCATCAACTAATGGGCAAAATGACCAGCTAGAATAAAAATGGCAGGGTTAAATTTACACATAACAATATTAACCTTAAAGGTAAATGGGCTAAATGCCGCAATCAAAAGACACACACTGGCAAATGGGGTAAACAGTCAAGACCCTTCAGTATGCTGGATTCAGAAGACCCGACTCACACGCAACGACACGCAGAAGCTCAAAACAAAGGGATGGCAGAAGATTTACCAAGCAAGTGGAGAGAGAGAGAGAGAAAAAAAGCAGGGATTGCAATCCTAGTCTCTGATAAAACTGACTTTAAACCAACACAGATGAAAAGAGACAAACAAGGGCATTATATAATGGTAAAGGGATCAATGCGAGTATTTTTATTTTTTAAATACAAGTCCTGATTCCTTAAAATTTAGTAATTCCTTCTTTAGCATTTTTCTTGAATTCTACTAGATGCAGTGAGAATAAGCTAGAAACACTTTCAAACTTCTGTGTAGAACCTGCGTAGGTCACCAGGTTCATTAGGTATATTTCCTATTTTTTGTGTTTCCACAGGCAACAACATTGCAAAACTTTTCACCACCACATTTGTAGGATGATCTTTCCTCGGGCCTCCAATAGCCTTTTTCTCCCTTTCTTTTAAGTCTCCCTAACTTAGCCACATTGTAGCTGACTGTAACCATGAACATAAGCTTTAAGCTACTGAATTTTGGGTGGTTTCTTACTTGATAATGTTCTGGTAATACCTGCTATATAAAAAACAATTTGCAAATAGGATTATTTTTATAACTTGTTCGTCAAAACTTCTGTTTTATTTCTGTTTTTTTTTTTTCAGATGAGGGTCTTCAATATAATGGAAAATAATGATGGGGGGCATACTCGTCTCGATCCCAACATGATCTGAAGTGATGTAAAGGGAACAGTTACGAATAACATTTACTTTAGATACTCTTGTCAAGACAATTCCCATTCATTTTAGTTATGAGGATATGAGATTCAATATCTGTGCCAGAGTCTTTCTAGTTTTACTTCTTGCATTTAGTGAGTTAAAGCTAAAATGATATCCCTTAGGCTCTTTATAGATGGGTTAGCAATAGGATTTAAGTTTTAACAATGAGGTTCATTTGCATGAAGTCTGGAACAGACGTGAAATGAGGCTGTAATCTGTTACTTCTTCTGTTTTCTCTGTAAGTATGGATGTGAAGATGTTTGATTTTTAAAAATATTCCTCAGAGAACTTAGCATCTGATGACTAGCTTTGTGGATGTTGAGAAATACATGAAAAACATTCAGTTTTTTGGTGCTATTCCATGTAGGTATTGTCCGTTTCTGGAACTGGCAAAAGTAGATGCAGCTTCCCAGTAATGTAGGTGGCTTCCTTATCACAGAATAAACGTATGAGTTATTCCTGAAAGGCAACTTCACTTTGCTTAGTCAGCTTACCCAAGATTCCGTAAGTCATATGACAACTTTCAGTAAATCCTCTTCTTATATACCCTAGAGTGTCTTCTGCAATTCGTCACTGACTAATTCTATAACTGACTTCAAGTCTGGTGGCATGGACAGACTTTTGAGTTAAAAAAGTTGAAAATATGTTTACATTGTAAGATGGAGATAATCTGGTTAAGATTTATTTTTTTTTAATCTATGGTAGAACTATTAACTATTAACAGGAATGAATTGTCTTTAACAAGTTGGTTATTAAAGAATGGAAGACAGCACATGTGTGGTTTACTCCAGGAAAGTGGGCAAAAAACATGAACAGATACTTCTCAAAAAAAGACACACAAGCAGTGAACAAACATATAAAAAATGTTCAATGTCATCAATCAGCAAATAAATGTAAATTAAAATTACAGTGAGATACCATCACACACCAGTCAGAATAGCTATAATTAAAAAGTTAAAAAACATGTTGGCAAGGTTGCAGAGAAAAGGGAATGCTTATACACTATTGGTGAGAATGTAAATTAGTTCAGCCCCCATGGAAAATAGTTTGGAGATTTCTCAAGGAACTAAAAATAGAATTACCATTTGATGCACCAATCCCTTTACTGGGTGATATGGTTTGGTTGTGTCCCCACCCAAATCTCACCTTGAATTGTAGTCCCCAGAATCCCCACATGTCATGGAAGAGACGTGGTGGAATATAATTAAATCATGGGGGTGGTTATCCCCATGCTGCTGTTCTCATGTAGTGAGTGAGTGAAGGTTTGATGGTTTTATAAAGGGATTTTACCCCTTTTGCTCAGCACTTCTCTTTCCTGCCACTATGTGAAGGAGGACATGTTTTCTTCTCCTTCCAACATGATTAGAAGTTTCCTGAGGACTCCCCAGCCGTGTTGAACTGTGAGTCAATTAAACCTTTTTTCTTTATCAATACCCAGTCCCAGCTATGTCTTTAGTAGCAGTGTGAGAATGGACTAATACAGTAAATTGGTGCCAAGAGTAGTAGGGTGCTGCTGTAAAGATACCAAAAAATGTGGAAGTAACTTTGGAACTGGGTAACAGGCAGACTGGATCAGTTTGAAGGTCAGAAGAAACAGAAAAATGTGGGGATGTTTGAAACCGCCTAGAGACTTGGAAGGCTCAGAAGACAGGAAAATATGGGAAACTTTAAAACTTCCTGGAGACTTGATGGATAGTTTTGACCAAAATGCTGATAGTGATATGGACGATGAAGTCAAGCTGAGGTGGTCTCAGATGGAGACAAGAAACTTGTTGGGAAATGGAGTAAAGGTCACTTTTGCTATGCAAAGAGACTGGCAGCATTTCGCCCCTGCCCTAGAGATCTGTGGAACTTTGAACTTGAGAGAGATGATTTAGGCTATATGCAGAAGAAATTTCTAAGCAGTAAATCATTCAAGAGGAAACAGATCTTAAAAAGTTGGAAAATTTGCAGTCTGACAATGCCATAGAAGAGAAAACTCCATTTTCTGAGGAGAAATTCAAGCTGGCTGCAGAAGTTTGCATAAGAGACAAGGAGCCAAATGTTAATAGCCAAGACAATGGGAAAAATATCTCCAGGGCATGTCAGAGACCTTCACAGAAGTCCCTCCCATCACAGGCCTGGAGACCTAAGAAGGCCTCCCCAACCATGTTGATCTGTGAGTCAATTAAACTCCTTTCCTTTCTAAATTACCCAGTTTCAGGTATGTCTTTATTATCAATGTGAGAATGTATTAATACACCAGGTATATACCTAAAGTAGAATAAATTGTTCTGCTAATTTAAAAGACACCTGGACTTGTATGTTTCACAATAGCACTATTCACAATAACAAATACTAGAGTCAACACAGATGCCCACCAATGATGGAGTAGGTAAATAAAATGTTCACCATGGACCACTACAGAGCCATAGAAAAGAATGATATCATGTCCTTTGAAGCCACATGGATGCAGCTGAAATCCATCATCCCAAATGAATTAACACAGAAACCGAAAATCAAACAATGCGTGTTCTCACTTATAAGTGGGAGCTAAACTTTGGGTATGCACGAACATAAAGATCAAAATAGTAGACACTGGGGACTCCAGAAGTAGGGAGGGAGAGTGGAGGCAAGGGTTCCAATTGGAGACCATGGTCATTATTTGGATGACAGGGTCAATAGAAGCACTTGCCTCAGTACTACACAATGTATCTATGTAACTCAAAATACACACACAAAAAATACCAACCTCGGGGTTTTAAATCTGTAGTTCAAGCTAAGGACAGAGTTTAGGGAGCTTCCTTACGTATCTTCAAAGAATGTCTTATTTATTGTATTACAGGACTGACATAGTTGGAAACCCATGGGTTAGTGATTTAGAATATAAGTTGGTGCACAGCCTCACTAACTTGCTTATTTGAAACAAGGGCATAGATTAGGGAAGAGAAAGATCCCTAGTATTGGAATGGGAGCATAGAGTGAGTTTGAATTTCCAAACTCTACTTGACTTAGTTTTACCAACAGAAGCAGTTCTTCCTCCCTTAATGATAAACCTGGTCTTGCATTGCTTGAAATAACTGTTATGTTGGAAATGATTTTGTTCACTTAGTTGGTTGGACTGAAAACTCAACAGTAGTCTATGTTAAATGAAGTTGAGATTACAGAAATGTTCAAATAAAAAAAAAGTTTTTTGGATATGGAATTTAATGTGCCCAGCCTACTCCTCTATTTCCTAACTATGTCCACTCTGAAGGTCCAAAGAGAACTATCTTGACTCAGAAATTAAGAAATTCAATAGTGAACAGACTACTAGCATCACTGAAAACTAATTGGGTACCAACCTTTTGTAGGTGAGAAAAGAACACATTTGACCTTCCATTGAAGTGGCCCCCTGATTTTAATAAGAATGACAGGATTTTGGAGTGTTTATACACAAAAATGTATAATTTAACCCCGAAGATAAGGTATGCACGCCATCATGATACTGCTAGAATTTAATCAGAATTGTTAAACCTAAAGGGACCTGTGGTGTTAAAAACTGGATGGAAT